ATATCTCAAATAAATTAAAAGGGGTATATTGACTAATTTTAAGAGTAATTTGGTAATTAAAAAATGCATCTTGCTTTAGGCCTAGTTTGATCGAACTGTCGAGCTAAATAAGTAATGGGTTGAGTAAGATGCCCACTAAAGGCTGACAAAGGCAATGTCTCTGGTTGATAAATTGAATAAAAAATCTTATAGCGGTGGAATCAACTTAGCTTGGACCCAACTACTTGTTCTAGCTTGGATGCAAAGGGGTCCAAGCTAAATTGATAATTTTCAAGTCATTGAAATCATTACGATGAAATGCTTAGTCTAGCTTTTTCTTTTTAATTATTATAAGAAGAGAGAAGGGTAAAAAATAAGAGAATGTATGGTTGAATATTATTCCCTTATTCTATGTAAAAAATAAAATAAGAAATTGCATATAAATAGGTAGAGAAATAACTATCAAGAAAAGAATAATTTTAAAAATTAATCTTTAATTTTGAAATACATAAATAACTACACAATAATATAAATGAAATAATGTCATTTAAGGATCACTATAGATGAAAAGTTGATATTTATAGAGTATTTTATTGTTGTAAATTAAAAGTTATTGTCCATTGATTATTGGATTATTGTAAATGAAAGTTGCTATACTCAATTAACTAAATTATTGTATATAGAAAGCTGATGTTCATAAATCACTAAATTGTTATAGATAGAAAGTTGTTGTCTATGGATTTGAGATTAATTCAAAAACATTTTTTCTTCTTCTCACCCATAATGAAAAAAATTATTCATTGCAAATATATCACAAAATTTTAATGAATATGTTCACTGTAATTACAAATTTGTGACGAAGAATTGAGCATGTTGCAAATCTATTGTAAATCTACCAAAATATTTTGAGATGAATCACTATCATTTTAAATTAAGGGTTTCTAAAAGATTGCGGTGCTAGTCGAAAGTTAATTGTAGATTTATAATAATAATTTCCTTTGTGATGAATGATTTCATTACAGATTCTAATGATTTATTAGACTCTATAAGTTTAAAATATTCATAAAAGATTTACCAAACATCAAAATAAGTTGAAATTAATCCTTAACCTCTTTGAACATATATTCAAGTTATGGCATACTCAAATCTGCCCAATATATATAGTTGCATAAATGAGTTTAATACTCTTCTCCTATATAGTAAAGCCAACCTAGCTAGTTCTTGATATTAGCAATAATAAGATGGAGATCTTCATGTCATAAGAATGCACCTATTCCAAATCTTAAAAGAGATAATGATCAAATGCATTATAATAATAAATATTAGGCCCTTAGACCTTACAACCCTAAATTTATATTTATCAAAATATTATGCCCCTACATCATAAATAACTAAAAATCAAGGACTCTCATGCCGACACTAACAGACGCCATCATCTCTCATATTAGCTTCATCCCATTGTGTGGAAGGTATGCAAACCTCTTTTTGTTCCTTCCCCATTGCCTCATAAAATAAAACATGTGTTAGCCATCTTCATTGAATTTTCTCATGTTGCTAATTTCCCTATTTGAATTGGGGTTTACTACATTGCTACCTTTACCTGTATCTCCTATATAGGGGGTACTCAAAATTGGGCATGCATTTCATTTGACTGCTGTATCAGGTATTTGCCCTGTTAAATAAATCTTCTTAAAATCTGTAACTAGCCTTATGCCTACTTAATAAAATATATGATATATATTCATTTTATTTTAATTTTTTAATATAAACTCATCATTTATATACTTTTTCAACTAATTTCACAATTAGTCCCTTATAGTTTTCTATTTCTTATCTGTGTTAACTGTGTTTACAACAGTTTTTACAAAAGTTCTTTTTTTGATCCATTTATATTTATTAACTGGAAAAACGGATTTTACAATTTTTACCATTTTAGTGTACTTCTCTACCTAAATGGACCTTTCAATATCATAAAAATAAGAATAACTTTTTAATGAATTTAAATATAAAATATTTCATAAAAAATTTAAATATAATATACTATAATATACAAGATAACAGAACTGTGATATCTCTTTTTCTATAATTTTTTCAAACTAATTATTTTATTATTATTATTATTAAAAATAAAGAAGCATATCATATCTATTTATAATAAAGAGATATGAAATGTTCTTTAATATAAAATAAAAAATTATTATGGTGGTATAAAAAAAATCATAATTATATATTGTATTCGTTAAAGGAAGAAAAAAATTTGTTCTTGCGACGAAGTTAAGGTTTGGTCGGAACTAAGGACAGCCTGGAGAAGAAAAGCAAAAGTGAAGAGGACCGAATTGACGTGAATGGGAGAAGGGCCCGAGACCAAATAAGTATATAATACAGAAAAAAAGTTATAAATTTTTGTATTTGCTTTCGTGTCAGTAAGATAGTACAGATCGAGCAACAACGAAAGAAATTTCTTTCAGCAAATCTATCTTCTTACTGTATTATTCGTTATGAGAGATTGAAAATGAGAAATCCAAATGAATCATAATGTAATTCTGTATTCATTATGAATGTTTTGAATAATAGTTTCTGAATAATATTGTAAATTAGTTTTGTTTTATCTGGGCTCCACCCACAGGAAATAACTGAGCCGCTCCCACCATTCCAAGCAATCATCATGCAGTGTTCCCTTTGCTCCTCGCTTTGATTCTAGCCATGGAAGTGACGTTTGCGCACAGAAGCTCATGAGATAGAGAGAGAGAGAGAGGATCGGAATAAGATATTAGGGTTTTTATCGTGTAGCACAAGAAGAGAAAGGGAAAGCAAGGAGGGTTCAGTTACCTTGTTTGTGCTTAGGGATTCAAAGGCATGTGCAAGATTGGATTTTTGAGGAGAGGGGTCAGGGAGTTTTGTTGTAAAACATAGAAAGTGTCAGGCTTTCAATTGCATAGTGTTTATGGTAAAGGGAAAATGCATAATAAGCAAAGAAAGAGCAAGGTGGAAGCATTCTATGTATATTTGTGTACAGTTAGAAAGCTAGTTTTGTATCTTTATGGTTGTTTGATCCTGAGAGATCTGTGAATGTTGAAGGCTTTTGATTCCTTTATATTTTTTTGAAAATTGAAATTTATATATATTTTCTTGTTGTTTATGTGTTGAATTGGTTTTTCAAAATACTTCTATGTTGTGGAAATAATCTGTAGTTCATATTCTGAAAATAAGAGAATGGGAAAAAGATATGGGCACTTGACATGAGCTCAGTTACTAAGAGAATGGGGAGAGAGAGAATTCTGATGTAAAGCTGGCTATTCAAAGTTAGCATGAGAGAAGAAAAGACAAACAGGAAAGAAGGGAAAGCAGCAAAACCCTAAGCTGATGCCACTATAAATGGCTAAGCTTAATGCTACAAACCATTTCACCAAATTATTTAACTGTTGGATTTTGTGCATTTAAATAATATAGATTAGGTTTGATTATAGCTGTAAGTGAGTGGTGCACTTGATACATAAATGAATATCCTTTTTTGTTATCAACAAATAGTTAATTATTTGTTTGATTAATAATTTATTCTAGTTTTTATTAATTCTATTATATATATTCTTTTTTTTAAATTATGTTTATCAATAGCTGCATAAATATGCTCAAAATATCAAATATTTAGCTCACTATATTGATTAAAATATTTTCTCAATAATTTTGAATCTTATAAAATAATTTAAATAATACCTAATAAATTATGTACATTTTAATTAAAATCTACAAATAAAATTAGCTATAATAATAAGGTTATGTATATTTAAATCATTAATATTAAACATATAATTAATTTGGTTGATCGAATCTCGATTCCATCATAAATTTGATAAATAATTTGACTCTAATTTTAAAGGAAAAAAGATAAAAGAACTTGAATAACACAATATTTGATTAGATTCAGTTCATCTATAAATCTTAGAGAAGTGATCAAATGATTTGCTGATAGAAAAAGTAAAACCTACACATTATATCGTTTCTCATCCAAATAAAAATAAAATTCTCATTAATGCACAATACGAGCAATATAACAGAGAAATCTTTTCTTTCATTTTTTTGTTATGAATGTTCTAACTACTGTTTTGTTATGATTAGTGCAACATAGCTTTACATAACACATATAATTTAGAGGAAAAAAAGATCTAAAACTCATCTACATCACAATCCACTATCCTTCTATGTCCAATTTTCCATGTTTTCGAATGCATTACAGAAGTATTCACATCTGCATTTTTTTTTTTATTGTTTGAATTTTATTTGGGAGGAAAGCTTTCTTCATATATAACATTCTACTATTCAGTTTGTTTCCATTTACAGTAGGTTTACATGTCAAGCTGAAGGTCAAGCCTACTAGTGGGTTTTATTTAAAAAAAAAAAAGCTGAAGGTCAAGCCTATTACCAATTTTTTGCTGACTTTTTACATTTTAGCAGATCTAAATTGCTTTACAAAGGAAATCTTAGAACATTTGTCAACAATTTTCATTAAACTCGAGGAGAAATCCTTTCATAAACTAAAACTAGAAAAAACACTTTGCAAAACCTTGAAGATAGTATATTTTTTTTTAGAGAAACAGACATGAATGGAAGATTCCTTCAAATTTATTCCATAGTAAATTCCCAAATTTCTACTTCAAATCATAAAACCTATCATTGGGTATTAGGTTCAAAGGATGAAAACTATGCGTAAATCTATGAAAACAAAGCTTCTGTTTCTTCAATTCTAAAAAAGAGAAAACAAAAACAAATGCAATAGGCATCAGAAGGCAAACAAAGCAAGGAAATAGAATAAAAAAAAAAAAGCTTCTTGTTACCATAGAAAAGAGTTTGGCACCAAAGCATTTTTCGGAAAAAAATTCCATGGAAAATAAGCTGCTAATTCACCGAAAATACCATGTAGCTTATGCTGTTCTTTATTTCCTTTAATACCTTAAAGAACTTTATCATAACTAAAAATAGTTCTATAAATGTGTTTATAAACAGGTCTAGTTCTTGAAAAATACCTGTGATTGGAGTACTCGTAGAGGCGACCTCGAGTGGAGAAGACAATTAGGGCTATTTCTGCATCACAGAGAACGGAAAGTTCGTAGGCTTTCTTTAAAAGACCATTCCTACGCTTGCAGAAGGTCACCTGGCGGTTCGTGGTATTCTCGATCCTCTTGATCTCAATTTTTCCCCTCCCCATCTCTCTTTATTCCTGGTTGAGGAAATCAAACAAGTAGAAAAATGATTTTTAAGTAAGTAATTGCATTTAATAAAAGCTGCTTTTATCTGAAGCTTTGTTGTTTCAGGCTTTTTTTGGAGGGGGAAATCTTCGAACTCTTCAACTTCTTCTGCGTTTCATTGTCGGATAAAGGTTTTTTTAAATCAGAACTTCAGATAAAAATGCTGTTTTTATCTGAAGCAATTCTTTTTTCCAGAAAAAAATGGTCAATTTGAATGCCTCCACATGCTTGAAAACTCAAAATATTGCGCATTCATTCAACAAACAAAGAACATGGCAAGAATGAAAAATATGAAAACAAACATAACTTCAGATATGCTATCTATTTTAATTATATCTTTTGTCAAATCACCCAACACATTTCTTCTATCTTCCAGGCCTCCAATTTCAGAATCAACAGTATAGCTTTGCTTAAAAAGTCTAACGGAAAAACAATCTAATTGTATTTAAACTTTAAAGATCAAATCCATAAATTCCTTACCAAAATTTTCCAACTCTCTTGCACTCCTTTCCCAATCAGAAACAGCCTCTCCTCTCTCTCTCTCTCTCTCAGCTTCTTTTTCTCTCTCTCTCTAAAAGTCTCTTCCTTCTAAATTTGCCTTCTTGAACTGTATCTCTCGTCGCCGCGAGCGCAAAAGGCCCCTACTGCATGAGAAGGCCACCGGTCCTCTCAGTTAACCTTTTAACGAGGACGGGATTTAGATCTCCGCAGAAACCGGCTAGTCTCATTCTAACGGTAGAATAATAAGATACTTTTTTTTTCTTGTCTTCTCAATGGCTAATGTGTGATTTCTAAGCTGTTCCTGAGGCACATTTCATGTTATGCAGAGAGAGAGAGAGAGAATTAAATCGGCGCCCGGCGAAAGCTACAGCGATAGCCGATAGCTCTTCTTCGCACGTGCCAGTAGCGGTGTGGTGTGCTTCGGGTGCTGTAGGATAAAGTAACTTTGAACTGGTAGGGTCGATCGGACCCGTACGATGCGTGGGCCTGCCTAGTGCGGCAGTTCGAAGATGCGCGGTACAGTATATCGAGTATTAGACTGTATAGTACTACTGCATTAACGTTTTGTAATTATAATTCTAGGCAAGTAAGGTGGAGCCAGGATTTTTTTCCTAAGGAACATATTTTTGTTATTGGTTCATGATTTGAGGGAATGTAACAAAAATAAGATGGGATTTATTTTACTGATATAGCAATATATCAAATAAAATAATGATATTTTAATGTAAATAATTTAACATGAATAAAAAATTGCAATTACTTTCTCGACAAACGTACAACTATAATTTATTTACTTCTGTTTCAAAAAGTTCCTATGAATGAGATTTGGAGTTCTCAAATAAAAAATATAATTTCAATGATATTTTCAGTTTTTATATTTAAAAAATAATATATAAAGGTAAAAAGAGAGAGAATAGGAAACAAAAATATATATATTATCATGGATATAGAGAGAGATGATGAGGGAAAAAAAAAAGGAAAAAAAGGCTACAACCTATCATAGTGTAAGGGGGCTCACAACAGATTAGAGAGAGAGAGCCTTGAGAGAGAGAGGAGTGGCCCATAGATGAAAGTGGGAGATAGATTATTACGACCAAAACCTATATGGCTCGCAGACATATATGTCATACCGTGTTGAATTAGGATAGATTAAGTCCAAGATCTAAGTTTCAGAAAACTTTTTAGATTTCATCCAATTAAACATTGAAACTGACAATAGAGCTTTTAATTAATTTCAATAAACTAAATAAACAACTCATCCAATAATTATATTCATTTATCACCAAAATATATTCGCAACATTTACACTATAGTACATGGTCACATACTAGAAAAGAACTAATAAAATAGATATAACCATGACTATATAAAATCAGGAGAATACTTATCAAACTTAAATAAACTAGATCCTGAATGCTCAGCTACTCAACAAACTCTATTTATTTCCCCTAACCTGAAATAGAAGGTAGAATATGTGTTAGCAAACACATCTCAGTAGGTCACACCCAATGATCTAAATTTTCAAATAATTTACTTATTTTATATTTAACTAAATGTACGTAATAGTAGTTCATAAGAAACATATTATACTGAGCATGATATTAATCATAAATATTTAAAATAAAGTAGATTGTATACTAGAAAAATAAATAAGCTCTTCATATATTATAGCAAAAAAATAACATATTTCTTTCAGGCCCTTATGCTCCCATCAAAAGCAGATATAAAAATATAGGCTCTTAAGACTCTTTATGCTAGGATATCAGAAAATAGACACTTATGACTTCTAATGCTTAGCACATAAGAGCTATTAAGAAATTTAGACCCTTATGATTCCATGAACATTTAGCACTAGAACAAAACTTTCCCCCCAAATCAGAACACGTGAGAATCACACAATTCAAGAAGATAAGTATATATATATATTATATATATATATTATATATATTAATATATATATCTATATAATAAATATATATATATATATATTATATATATATATATATATAATTACATTACATTAAGTAGCATGAAATATAAATAAATCACTTAAGAACCTTATTAGTGAGCTAAATCGTACTACAATTTTAATAAAATGAGCAGGGGAATTCAAATTTTTAAGATAATTATGATTAAAGAGAATTACTTCCATAACACTAATTTTGACTACTACAATCGTTATTTTTTTTATTCAAAATTATTTGATAATAAATAAAATAATATTTGTAGAACACTCATAGACACATTTAAGAGGTGATAAACACTGACGAGGGGGGGGGGGGGGGGGGGGGGGGGGGGGGGGGGGGGGGGGGGGGGGGGGTGCAAGAGGTTACCTTTTTAGAACACTCATAGACATGTGTAATTATACACAAATTCAAATAGTATTATAATTACCTCTCTCTCCAGAAAAATGCCATACTCTATAATTCAAAACTCAATCACAGAATAGATGGGTATAACTATCTCATCTCATACTCTTTTTTCCCATGTACTTTTTATTGTTGATTCTATGCTTTCACTAGGCATTAATTATTGAAATATATTTATTCCTTAATCAACTAACATTATATGTCCAATTTTTTTTTGGCTCTCTCCATAAATAACAATACGAATGGATCTCACTTTGTTGGTAGATATTTTATTTCTAGAATTCAGATACGCCACTTTCCTTAGAGATGAACACATGAATAATATTATGAATATCTGATATATGCTTCGGCAATTATAACATGTAAGTAGCTTTTTCATTCATGTCAATTATTTCAGATGATCCAAACTCATTGGAACTCAATTTTTCATCTTTTTTACGGCAAAGAAAAATCGTCCATTATCGGTAGATTTTTCGTGGAAATGGTTAAAATTTCTGGATAAAATTGATTTCTGGGCGGCTTTTCGTGATAATTTTTTTGTCGTTATAAATCGCATAGTAAACTTAAATCGACGGTTATTTCTAACATCAATTATTTTTGGTAGTTTTCAGTGGTCACCATAAATTTTTTTTTTATAATTCTTATTTAAAAGATTAGACTGCCCCTGCCCCCCCCCCTGCCGTGGGTCGTCTACCCGCCCGCCGCAATTGTTCCCGCTGCTGCCCGCTTGCCTCTCCCCTCTCGCTTCGAGTGCCCACCGGACTACCTCTGCCCTCATCCATCTTACCCAGCTAACCCGCAGCCCCACTCTGGCCCTGGCTCCTGCATCCTGTTCAGATTCATATAGGGTCTTTGGGAAATTATTCAAACACCCCACCATACTGCTACAAAGAAACTGCAATTCAATATGTTATTTTTTTATATTTTAAACTAAAATAATATGTAAAATTTAAAATGAAAATACAATAATTATTTCAAAAAATGAAAAATTAGTTATCAATAATTAATTAAAATGAAATTAATAATTAATAATTATTTTAAATAAAGTATTTAAATTAAAAATTAATTAAAATAAATTAGTTAATATCTTTTTTTAATCATTTTTATTAAATCATTTAAATAGTTAAATTTTTAATCATTTTAGTTAAATTATTTAAAATCCACTAAAACAAATCCACCAAAAACGACACTGAAAAATCCCCTGAAAAATTTTGCTGGAAAAACTGTATCATCGTATTCCATTAGAAAACCACCGTAAATACTCAGGAAAATTGACAGCCCAAAATCCGACGGTAATGGATGGTTTTCCTGCAATGTTTCTAAAACTATTGATTCCTTTAATTAATCTATCTAATTTTCACATACAAGAAATAACCAACCTAGAATTCTAATTCTTGGTGTTTGGCATCATAGTAATGTTTTTGTTTATCATGCATAGCTTTTAATCTATCATTGATCATACAAATCTTTTCAATAGTATTATCGACCAAAGTTGGCACAATCAGACTCCTTTCTCCCACTTATGTCCATGATAGAGGGGTTATACACTTCATGTTATATATATATAAACTTTTATTGTTGATAAATTCAATTAGAGTTACATGATTCTCCTAATTACCACCAAAATCCAAAATAAATAACCTTAGAAGATCTTTTAACACCTAAATAATCCTCTCAGACTACCCATTAAGATATGGATGAAGGCTACACTAAAATGTAGTTTTCTGCCTAGACCTTTTTGAATACCTTTCCATAGTTTAGAAGTAAACATACCATCTCTATAAGAAACTATCACTTTCAGTACTCCAGGCAGTCAGACAATCTCTCACACATAAACCTATGCTACTCTATCTTAATAAGCACAACTTTAAAAGCTAAAAAAATCCAAACTAATAAATAAAACTTGGACAGCTTAAAAAATTCAATTTATTATTATTTAACAGCTAAAATATTTTTATAAAAATGACCGTTCATTCGAGCAATTATTCTGTGCGGTCACCGGACCGTTCGGAGGCGAATCAAAATGTGCCATCACCCAATACATAGCACTGGTACACAACAAAAAGTGACATGACACGTCCTGATTCATC